TTCTTTCCAAGTTAGTTTTTCATCCAAAATAACTCCAAGGTATCTTAGGCTAGACTTTCTTTTTATGATCATATCACACTCACAATGTAGGCCCAAATCACATTTTGAATCATGAACTTTGATGCACTCGAAATCCGGCAGTGAGCGAGAGGAAAGCGAAAAAGCCACAAAATTGGTTTTCTCTACATTAAGGGAAAGTAAACTTTCATCCAACCAGTTCTTAATTTTTTGTAATGCTTTTTCTGCCTTTAGCTTAGTAATTCCCCAGTCGTTACCACTTATTATAATACTTGTATCGTCAGCAAAGCAATAGGTATTAATATTCTCATCATCAAGCTGCTCCATTATGCCATTTATGTAAATGTTGAATAACAAAGTTGAGAGCACTGTACCTTGTGGCACACCAAATTCTACCTGCAATGCATTACTTTCTTGTCCAGAGACAACTGTGGTTTGTTTCCTCTCAGCCAGATACGACTTAATAAAGTTATTTGGAATACCCCTGACTCCCACACTCTCTAATCGTTTCAATAAAATTTGGTGCTCCACAGTGTCAAACGCTTTTCTCAAATCCAAAAAAACCCCTACCACTTTTTTCCCCTGATCTAGATTTTTAAGTATCTCTTCTGTAACCTTTACAAGAGCATTTTCAGTATTTGCATGATCCCTGAAAGCAAATTGATTTGAGTTGAGAAGGCAATTTTTCTCTAAAAAGGTGTTTAATTTTCTCCTAAAGCATTTCTCAATGATTTTACTCACTGTACTAGTCAAAGAAATTGGTCTATAGTTATTTAATAATTTTTTATCACCTTGCTTGTATAAGGGTATGATTTTAGTATTTTTCAATATATCAGGGAAAATACCAGCAGCAAATGATAGATTTGTTATGTGCTTAAGCGGAATGCTGAGATTTTCTTTAAAAGTTTTTATTACATTAGATGAAATAGCATCATTTCCATCCTTTACCCCATTCTTAAGGCTCATCACTTCTCTAATTATATCATCACTTGTCACAGGACTCAAAAAGAACGAGTTTTCACTCCTCCTCTCCCTCACACCATGATTCCGAGCGCCTCCAGTAATCTTTCCTGCCAAATGTTTTCCTATATTACAAAAATAAGAATTGAATTCATTCGCAATCTGTTTTTTGTTTGTTATTTCCGAATTTACCTGGTTATTAATTGCTTTTATTTCTGACCTACAGACCTGATCATTGGTGGCCTCCCTAATCACATTCCATAGTTTTTTTGAATCATTTAAATTTCTTTGAGCTAATAATTTGTAATAAGTATACTTTGAATTTTTTATTAACTTACCCAAAATTTTTCGATATTCTTGATACCTATTCAAAATTATAAAATTGTTGGGATTCAAGGTAGTTTCCTTTTTAAGGCGGTTTCTATTTCGAATTGACAATAAGAGCCCACCAGTGATCCAAGGCTTCAATTTCTTCTTCTTGTTTGGTATTGTTTTTATAATTGTTGATTCCATAATCATATTTTTTAATTTGTTCACAAATATATTTGTACACAATTCTACATTATTCTCCTGCAAAACCTCACCCCACCGCTCACCCTCAATTTTTTTTGCCAGAATTTTATGATTTATTGATTTGTAAGTATTATTATTATCTAAGTTGTTAAAGGATGTTTGTAACCGAATGTTAAGCAGAATGGGGTGATGATCAGTGAGATCATTTTCCAAAATCACAGCCCTAATATTGCTAAGAAGGTCACTCTTACATTTAATAAAAAAGTGATCTAAACAGGTACCTCCATTTTCAGTAACTCTTGTGGGTTTATTTATTGCACTTACAAAACCATGCCCCTGTAATAAAGTCAAGTAGTTATTTGTCGAGTCAGATTCCTTAGATAACAGATCTATATTAATGTCACCAGCAAACACATACACTCTGTTTTGATCCATGCTTGATTGCTGCAGTAGTCTTTCCAAATTTTCAATAAGTTCTTCTTTTGTAACGGCAAAACATCTGTATGTAGCAAGGATCTCCACAAATTTTTGGTTTTTTTGGAGTGTGACTTTGATAATTTTTAACTTATTATCTTGGATTATCCTATCTTCAATGTGGAGGTCACTTTTGACATAGATTATGCACCCATCACATCGGTTAAGACTACTTTCATTGAAGAACAATCTGTAGCCAGGTATGTTAAAGTCATTTGTGCAGTACACATTGTGGGTTTCCGACATAATTATAACATCAAAGGACTTACCTAGTGATTCAAGGAACACCAAAAATTGATCGAAATTTTGGTATATACTACGTATGTTGACATGCATAATATTAATATCACTTGCTTTATTGTCAAAGTAGTTTATTTGGCATAAGCTGTCACATTCCCTTGTTTCCAGGATATTATTATAATCATCCAGAATATCATTCAGCTCCATGAATGCAAAATTAGTTTATTTAGGGTTGTATTACTGATTTATATGATTTATTGGAGTTTTTCAAGATCGGAGTCGCATCTTATTTTAAGGGCCTGGTCAGTTTCGTTAATTTTAAGAAAAATTGTTCCATTGATATAGAAGGCTGCCTTATAGTTTTTTTGTTTCCTTAAATCCCTTGTTTTTTTGAAAAGCATCCTTTTTGCCACTGGCATGTCCTCATTAAAGAATATTTTTTTGTCATCCCCGTCCAAGCCACATTGCTTTGTAGATATACCTTTTATGTCCTTTATTCTCCTAAGTACATCCTTTTTAGCTTGCTCATTGCTCATTTTCAGTAAGATTGGCCCTTCTCCTTGTTTATCCACCCTGAAACACTCCAAAATTTCACTATTTGCCGTTTGCAGTTGCATGGCTACAAAAATCTTTTTAATAGTTCCTACTGTGTCTAGCCTGGTTTGTTTTGGGACCCCTGCAACTATCAGGTTTTTAGATTTTTCAGTGACCTCAAAAGCATCCATTCGGCCTTCCAACGACTGCAGCCGCTTCTTCAACTCCTCGTTTTCCTTTTTTAAGGACTTGATTTTCCATCAGAGCGCCCTCGAACACTCGCTTTTGGTCCTCGAAAGCATCAGACATAAATTGAATTGAGGCCCCAAATTCAGTAATTTTTTTATCAATTTTCTGCTCAAATGGGCCCAGGTAGCTTTTAAATGATTCCTTAATAATCTCCCTAAGCCTTTTTTCGTCCATTTCCAAACAATTATCCGATTTTTCGCTGTTTTTTCGTGTTGTGCTTGGTGGTCTAACCTCACTCTTGCCAATATCACAACAGACAAATTTTTTTCCACTATTATGTTTAGCTACCCACAGGTAGGTATATTTACGCGAATTTTACTTTTTTCATTCAATTTTTTTATGTTTTAACAAAAACCAGTCAGAATCGTACATAAAATCATGTATATAACGCTTACATAAACAGGCTTTATTGACTCATTATTTAATAGCCTCGCTCGCAAGCTCGCTCGGCCATAAAATTATTCGTACAATAAAGCCTTACTTTATGTACTTGTTATATAAATAGCTATTATTGAGGGGGCATGTCAAAAACTACAATAGAATTATTTTATTATTGATTATTTATGTTAAGGTTATATTTATGAGAAAATGTGACAACAATTTGATAACGACAGTTGGTAAATTTGGTGGTCATCATAAAAGAAAAGTAGTGGGCTTTTCTGTTTGTGAAGATTATTCAGTTGTTATATTGTCATGGTTTGACAATAATTTTAATTTTGTTATTATTGTAAATTTTTATATTAAAAAAACAGTCATGAAGTTAATACTGGCGCCGTTCTTCGTTTCATTTCAATAGTGTCAAATTGGGGTTACAGCCAAATAATCTTGAAACTATAAAATTCGATACTTTTTTGGCTTTTAAGGCCACGTTAATGGCCGCCATGTTTAAATTTAGTTTTTGAAAATGACGACTGCGTCACTCTACACATAGGGTTCAATATTTTATTATTTGTCCAAAACAAAATCTGTTTTTCGGTGAAACACTTGTTTTCACCTTCAAAATTCGTTTTAAGGTCATCTCAAAAAATCCGCAATAATTTCCAAAATCCTTTGGCATAAACATTATTTGATATATTATCTACAATCTCTACAATTAGCTTTTTTTAGTTTTTCGTGGTTATCAATAAAATATGTTTTTCACGGATCCAAGCTTGATAAACATGCAAATATGCAACCACCAACACATTTAATTGTTTTGGTGGTTGCGAATATGATTTTTGAATAAAAAAAAAAAGGCTGAATATCGAAAAACCAAAATAAGGAATTTTAGATAATGGATCAGATAATGTTTATGCCAAATTTGAGCCAATTCTGATGTGCCGTTTTTTTAAAGACCTTAAAACAAGTTTCGAAAAATCAACCAATCACAGTTTAAGCATGGCGGCCATGAACGCGGCCTTAAGTGATTTTATCTTCGACTAGATTAGGTCGTTCCCAGAACTTCATGTGTTTGTAAATCCCATTAGGGTCACATTTCAACTATCTATAGAAAAGCTGTTAATTCCCACGAAAGATGAACTTGAACCAAGATTATAAATTTACTATTGATTTTTTTACAAACCAAATCTGAGGAAGCCAAGAATCACCCTCCCACTCAAAGATCCGACATGCGGGATCCCCACAAACTCTATCAGGACCTGGGAATCTAGAATAAATAAATATGGGAACATAAAATATACATACATTTTTCCCAAAATGCCATTTGGACAAGACAAGAAAACAGTTAACCTTCGAATTTGTTAACAGTGCGCGGTGTTTTACTTAATACTTAGTACACAAAACTTATACCTACAGAACCATCAGTTGTTTGTCTTTCAGTAAAAGCCATTAGTACTCATATTGCCTTAGACTTCGAAGTTTTTTTCTGGTATTGAACAAAAAACAACTACAATAAGCTGTGTTCAATATCCATCACAATAATAAGTAAACAAAAACTTATGGAGGTTAGGATAGATATAATTATGCTGACTAACAAAATGATATGTTCATAATTTTTTTATTTATTTTTTCAGATCATATCTTCTAGAATGTAATTCGCGACCCTTGATGGAAAATCTATTCCAGAACAAAGGTAAGAATTGGCAATTTTCATAATGAAGCACGTACAAGATTTTTCTTTTCTCAAGATAAAGATAATTTAATTTAAACTTTGGACAGCTTCTCAACTTTATGAAAATTAATTGAAGCCTTACACAAACATATTTTGCAACGCTTTCCGCATTTATTCCGGAACCGCAATTAAAACCCTCAACTCAAACTTAAAGGATATGTTTAAAACCTTGTCTAATTTGCGCAAGGAAGCTCCTAATTGTTCAAATACATAAAGCGCTCGATCCTCTGTACTTCTAACTATACAAAGTTCCCTTCAAACAAGCGAAAATATACCAAGAACGTTTAATTAATTGAAATCAAACTTCTCCGCACCGAAGAGGCATGAGAGTTAAATTGGTTAAAGTTTTTGCTATTTGATACCCGAATAATTCACAGACTGTCAGTCAGGCACTTAGTTAAAATTACGTTTTCGTCTAATGATGCCGAGTTTGAAACTAATTTCGCGCCATTTCCATACATTAGCAGCGGAAACTCGAGCCTATACTGGGATTTAACCTTGTCACGTTACTTGGTGTCTTAAGAGGGCTTATGTGTATAGGTGGAAATTGAAGATCGGATTACCTTTGCTCGTCTAGAATTATATTTTACAAGGTTTCTTCCGACTAAATGTTTACCAGGCAACATAATATCAACTTCAATAAATCGACTCTGCCAGCGATAAAATTAATGCTCCTTGTGCCTATAAAAAGGACATTTCAGGTCCGTAAAACTGCTGGTATGTGTTTTGTTTCTGGAACGTTTTATTGCCCAAATCAAAAACACAATAAGAGCCATGCTGATTTATGGTCTGCTGTTTTAGTTTCTTGCGCTAACTCAGGAGAATTACAAAATCGGGATTTATACAATGTATGACCAAACGCCCAATCGTTAGATATATATATTATTTTATTTATTGCCTAAATGGATATACATTTATTGCCGAAATATGAAGTACGGTTTCATGGATAATATTGGATTTCCTGAAGAGAAAACAATTTAGTATTTCATCAGTACTGGCTGATCAAAAATCTCATTAACTTTAGTCAAAAAAAAAACTCTCCCACTCCATTCTTATCCTCATTTTACTTCCACCATAGATTTGTATGTACAGGGTGGTCCATTTTCGATGTTTTAATAGGCTATATCGAAAACCAGCAGAGATATCAAAAATCTGGGAGCCCATTCTGGAGCTCTTTTTTTGAGAAAATCATAATGGCCAAGACAAATCACGGCTAACTTGATTCGTTTAGGAAATACAGGGCGCTTTTCAAATTTCGTCGAATTTCAAAAGATTCTCTAATTTCCTTATTATTCAAGATATCCAAAAACTAAAAATACTTTCTATAGGCAGTTTTTCAAGGAGAATCCAGTGGCATAACCAATTTTTCTCTAGATACCTCCGATTTTGGAATATTGACCAAAGTAGTGTTTTTTTAAATGGGACACCCCGTATATAATTTTTTTATTGGATAGCTCTTTATGGGCTGATTTCAATGATATAAGATTTTATACCTTTACCTTCTATAGTTTTGGAGAAAAAAAAATTCATTCCGTTTTTCCATAAGAAACAATGAGCTAGAGAGAGATCAGTCATTATAGTTATTTATGTATGAAGGGTACTAAGTAGATGATTATGCCCTGAGGGCGACAGTCTTACAAAGCCGAGGTCCTCTGGCCCAAGGGTTCGTAAGTCGCCCGAGGGTATATATATCTATTAGTACCCGTGGTGCATACAAACTTTTATGTCATACCAGTTGGTTGCGAATAATAAATACCTGGGAAAAAAGTGTCACTTCGCAAATTGTCATCAGTGTGCAAACATCATCATTTTTTGACAAAAATAATATCTTTATCAGCGTAAATTTATATTTTGTTAATAAAGAATAAGTTAATTGAAAACTGTTTTTTGCGTCTTTATGCCCGCGCGGGCCATAATATGTACTTTATGCCCGCACGGGCATAAAGTAATGAATTATGTAGATGGTATCTAAGGTATAAAAACACAATAGTGTATTGGTATGACATAATAGTTATTTATGTATCAAGGGTACTAAGTACATGATTATGCCCTGAGGGCGACAGTCTTACAAAGCCGAGGGCCTCTGGCCCGAGGGTTCGTAAGTCGCCCGAGGGTATATAATCTATTAGTACCCGTGGTGCATACAAACTTTTATGTCATACCAGTTGGTTGTGAATAATAAATACCTGGGAAAAAAGTGTCACTTCGCAAATTGTCATCAGTGTGCAAACATGGTTCAACAGCCAGTGTCAAACGGCTGTACAGAAAAAACACAGAGCATATAACCTTTGGAAACGACAACAAACCGCTCAAAACCACACAGAATTTATAGAAGCCAGAAATAGTTGCAAAATTACTATTGACTCCGCTAAAGAAACATACAATCAAAGATTAAAAAACAGGTTGCTGAATTGTCCAAGTAGTTCTAGGTCTTTTTGGTCTCTTGCAAAAGCTGTTGGATCTAACTTCACCAAGTCATCCATACCACCACTTACAGATAAAAATAATCACTTAGCCACAACATCAGAGGAAAAAGCCAATATGCTTGCCCAAATGTTTTCCTCCAACTCCAACCTAACAGTGCCAAACGGAAAAACTCCACCGTTTATTATCCCTAAAAAAGCTGGATCCAAACAAAGCAATGGGTCCGGATGGCATTCCCGCAATAGTACTCAAAAATTGCGCCAACGAACTCACCACAACTTTCGCAAAATTATTCAATTTGTCTTACAGGCAAGGAGTATATCCATCATCATGGAAGTCTGCCGCAGTACAACCCATTCCAAAGAAAGGAAAAAAGACAGATCCGTTAAACTATAGACCAATTGCTCTACTTCCGGTGATATCAAAAGTAATGGAAAGAGTTGTGAACAATCACCTAACCAAGTACTTGGAAAAGTACAAAATTATCAACGATAAGCAATACGGATTTCGAAAATATAGGTCAACTGGCGATTTACTTACATACGTCACTCACTTATGGCAAAAAACGATTGAGTTGCGGGGTGAAACAAGAACAATTGCCTTAGATATATCTAAAGCATTCGACAAAGTTTGGCATGAAAATCTGCTCAACAAGCTCAAAGCAATGGGATTATCGCCGAAACTTTGCACTTGGTTTGAAAGTTACCTAAAGGACAGATCCATTTATGTTGCACTGGATGGCCAGAACTCCAACTCTTACCAAATAAATGCTGGTGTGCCACAGGGAGCAATCCTTTCGCCAACTCTTTTCCTGATTTACATAAATGACCTCATATATAAAACAGTAAATCCACTTTATTGCTTTGCAGACGATTGCAATGTAGTCTCCTCACTCATACCACCCACAGGTCTTTCCGCACGTGAATTCCATCATCTTAGACTAACTCAAATATCGCAGATAAATAACGACCTGGAGATAATAGAGGACTGGGGTAACAAAAACCTTGTACAGTTCAACGCGCAGAAAACCCAAGCAGCTCTGTTTTCAAAAAAGACCAGCACCGGTGAGCCAAACATCATGCTATCTGGAAGTGCTGTCACATTACAGAGTCAGTTGAACATCTTGGGGGTTACTGCAGAGACCAACATGTCTTGGCACAGTCACGTGGCAGATATTGCTAAAAGGGCCTCCCAAAAGCTGGGGGTGCTATTTCGTACAAGACATCTGTACACACCAAGCCAATTGCTGCTCTACAAAGCCCAGATTCGACCAACTATGGAGTACTGCTCACATATATGGAGTGCAGCACCCAAACATACCTTAATGCTTTTGAATACCGTGCAAAAACGAGCTATCAAGCTGATCAATGACCCCGCACTTACTCGTAACTTGGATGGTCTCGAACATCGCAGATCTGTGGGCGATTTATCTCTCTTCTACAGGTACTATCACGGAAAAAGCTCTGAAGAGTTGGCACGTATGATTCCACCGAGAGTAGCACCTACCAGGCGAACCCGTCAAACAGACGGTAACCATGAATTTACTGTCAAACTAGAGGCACCAAGAACCTCATTATATCAGAATTCATATCTCTGGAGAACAGCATCGCTGTGGAATAAACTCCCTGCGACGGTTTTCCCTGCAGGTTACAACCTGAACCGTTTCAAGACCAACATACACCGACATTTCCGCGCACTTGCCGCTTCTCGAGCGTGATAGGACATTTCCTTGCGAGTGCGCATATCCGTAAAAAAAAAAAAAAAAAAATCATCATTTTTTGACAAAAATAATATGTTTATAAGCGTAAATTTATATTTTGTTAATAAAGAATAAGTTAATTGAAAACTGTTTTTTGCGTCTTTATGCCCGCGCGGGCCATAATGTGTACTTTATGCCCACACAATAATGAATTGGTATGACATAATAGTTATTTATGTATCAAGGGTACTAAATAGAGGATTATGCCCCGAGGGCGACAGTCTTACAAAGCCGAGGGCCTCTGGCCCGAGGGTTCGTAAGTCGCCCGAGGGTATATATCTATTAGTACCCGTGGTGCATACAAACTTTTATGTCATACCAGTTGGTTTCGAATAATAAATATATATTTTTGTTAATAAAGAATAAGTTAATCGAAAACTGTTTTTTGCGTCTTATTGCCGCGCGGCCAGAATGTTTACTTTATGTCCGCGCGGGCCATAATGTGCACTTTATGCCCGCACGGGCATAAAGTAATGAATTATGTAGATGGTATCTAAGGTATAAAAACCCAATAATGTACTGGTATGACATAAAATAAATTATGTGTGGCCTATTTATCACCCCCGGTTCATAGTTCAAATAAAAAAAAAATAGCTGAACTGAGAAATTGAATTGAGAAATTTGTAGCCGATTCATAGTTCAACTATCTGTTTCTAACTCATTGTTGCTTATGGAAAAAACGGAATAATTTTTTGTTCTCCAAAACTATTAAAGGTAGAGGTATAAAATCTTATATTATTGAAATCAGCTCACAAAGAGCTATTCAATGAAAAAATAA